TGCCCTTGTCGGCCACCGTAGAATACAGCTACTGGACATGCCCCTTCAGCAGCCACCTTGCCGAAGAAGAAATTGAAGAATATTTTGCCCCGGATTAGGCCTTCCAGGCTGTCTGGACCTATTTTCACACAGTCTGTTTACTACTCCCTCTACTCTACTACTGTTAGAAGTTAGGCTTACGTGCATGATGTCCAATGGTTGTGAATGGAGTCGTCGAGTGCTAGCGAAGGAGTCCGAGTTTGTCCTTGGAGGCAAAAGTCAGGGATAGTGTGTGTACATATAGGCAGCGCGGGAGATTACTTCCTGCTTCCTGCATGTTTGACGTCGCGTGTAGTTGTTTTGTGCCCGGCTGACTCTCACGTGCAGCACATACAGCCACAGAGAAAAGTAGCTAGCTGAACCTGGAGTAACTCTAATACTTGAAAGACTATGGAAGAAATTCAGCCACCGACACCTGGCCAACTAAATGGGTAACAAGTTTTAGATTTTTGTCTGTCGTACATTCAACAAGCGAGGCACAAACATCCGCCGAGAAGGAGTAAAGTATTTTTCAGTATTTTACTTTATCATAATTAAAACACCAGCCTGAGAAAAAGACAAACAAACAAATATAAGTTTAACATTTTAAATCTTATTTGAAGGTCCTGTAACACTGAGGAGGATCTATTGGTAGAAAGTATATATTATGCATAACTAGTGTATAATCACCTTAAGATAAGAATCGTTAAAATTAGCCTTTTATATCTATATATGCCACGGATCACCTTCCATATTGAACTGCTATGGTTCACGGAGAGTGAAGCAAAGGAGTTGCAATCTGCACTACTCAACGAGATGTCTCTAAATCCTACACACTGGACCTTTTAAAGACCCCCTCCAAAATGTATTAAGACACATATACAAATAGTCTGCATGGAACAGTAATTTTGTCAAACACTGGCTGTAGGTAGTGGCGTTTTTTGCACGTTTCACAGCAATCGAAGTCTCTCCTTCGCCCTTGGGAGGGGAGGATGAAGAGACACAGTTGTGATCTGCATTTACACCACTAGGTGCCGCTAAATCTTACACACTGGTCC